CCACAAATACGGGAGTATTTTCAAGATCTATTTTTCGAATTTGAGGCTTGACTGTATTTACATATGTACGTAACTAATATGATATCTGGTATGATTGTTGTTTCAGTGCTGAATCAAGTCTTGTTATGCAACAGGAAATATGTTGAAATGCTTTTATCGCACATTCCAAAAGTGGTTACTGAGTAAAGATTTTTCTTATCGTTGTGATGAATGATCAACAAAAAAAATTTTTTTCTAAAGCTTGTTATTTTCCTCGTTGTAGGTTTTTTTCATCATTCTTGATAATGAATCGGCATTATTATGTTTGCGTCCTGCTCAATGGACTATTGTATAATTAATTATAGAACTTTATGCATAAAAAAAATTTTTTCACAAAAAAAATGGCAAATACAGAAAGAGAAGTTGACCGTGTTATTCTTCCGTTATGAGATGAAGAATCCTTGAATGGGATATAATAACGGTATTGAGAAGCATGGGCTTCAGAAGAGTCGATGCTTTAACAGGAATGGATATGGAATTTGTACACACAGGGTGAGTTTTTCTCATTGATTATTTGTCGAGTCATAGTACATCTAAAATTACGCTGCTACATCTGTGTAATGAAATCTGATAGAGAATTGAAAGCTCATCGTGGCGACTATTTTGATAGTTAACGTTCTTCTCTATCAGTTATGGATGTTCCTGTAGCTAAATTGGCCCTCTCTGCGTTAGAGAGGCACTTTTTGTATTGGGAAGTGTTCTGCTGAGAAGTTGGTGAATAGGATGTACTCTGACATTTATCATGTATCCGTAGACTATTCTGGCCATGTGTCTTTTGTTGGTTGATGATGATAACACAAATATTCACTATTTATTATTTATTTCATAGTGGACCTGATGGCAAATTTTTATTTTTTAATCACTATAACAAAAGTTAAATGAGAGCTAAAATTTTTAGCCAATTTAGATACTAAAAATTAATTGAATTTAATTAGAAATTTATGAAAAAATTAGAATTAAATCTAAAAGCTTTACAAATTAACAGGATTAAACTTCAATCATTTCTATAGTATTGACAAAATTTTGATTTAATTTAATAAGATAGTTATTAAAAAATTAATTTTAAAAGTAATTTTACTATTTTTTACTAAAAATTTTAAAGTAACTTTAAAAATTAATTTCTCAACAACTATTTTATTAAATTGATTCAAATTTTTTTTAGTATTATAAAAATGCTTGAATTTTAATATAATAATTTTTGGATTTAATTCTATGTTTTTATTGATTTTTTTTAATTAAATTTAATTAATTTTTAATATGATTCCTACTGTATTAAAAAACTTGAAAGTGATAAAACTCAAAAGAGATATTAAACAGCGAAAAGAATTTTTAAAAAAAAATTTTAATCAATATGTAGTCATATATTTAGAAGTAATATTATTCTTAATTGCCACTGTTACAACCGTGGGAAAGACTTGGCTAACGTGAGGTCAAATTAGCTCAGGGTTGTAAACATGGGTTATGCGAGATGAATGTTCATTAGGTGATTCGGAATTAATGATAGCGGGCTATTAAGGAATGTATTTATTTATTTAGTCGGAGCAAAAAAGATAATTCTCTATATGATCGTTCTTTATTAGTTTAGTCGATATATTTATACTTTTCAATATCAAATGGTCCTGGGCCAAGATCTTGGGTCTCAAACCAATATCAGTGGTCTCAGACCAAGATCTGTGGTCTTAAACCAATATCGGTGGTCCTAGACCGAGATCTATGGTCTCAAACCACGATCTTTGGTTCTAAACCAAGATCTCCCATACATAGCCACTTCATACAATAGTATATATATACTAACAAATATAGTAACGAATACTAATACAATAATAAAAAATATATATTACAAAGAAAACTTGAACACAAAATTTTCGTAACACCACCCTGATCAGTGATGTAATTGGTTTCGCCCAATGGAAAACGATATTTATATTCGTCCAATGGGAAGTTTGGGAGACATTAGTAAACTCTCGATCGAATACTGCAGTACTGGAAATTACGTATGATAAATGTTTGAACGTATTAAAGAATCTAGAAGTTTCACGTAATTCAAAGGTTTAAATATTACTGTATTGGATTATATATGCTTTCAAAATCTATTTTGTATGGTTTGGTAATAGCCAATGAAAATAAGCAAACCGGGGAACTAGTTGCAAATGCACCAAACATCCCAGTCAAGATAAATTTGAAAAAAATTGAGCATGACATAACAGGTCGCCGAAGCAAAGAGGCAATACAGGAATGAAAGTTTGTATTATCAGATGGGCATTTATTGTTTTCGAAGGTTTTTTTAAACAAAATGCTATATTATTCAATCTAAGATAATGTCGTGAAAAACAAAACTGTACACTGAAAAGTTATTTATAAATAACATTAAATGTATTGATAAACAATTTAATTTTATAAATGATTTGGACTCTTCGAAAGAAGCAAGCATTTTTATATACAAAAAAAGTTCACTTTATGGATGTATAGATAGGTTTTTTTTTTTTTTAGCATCAATTTTACGTAATATGCGATTAAGAAATATTTAAATGTAGAGATGCCCGCTAGTTTTATTTCATAACAAAATTATTATGGAGAATCCAGAATTTCGTTAAATTTTAAATAGAAAACGGATAACGGATTGCATCTCTATTTGAATGTAATAAAAAGTGTATAATTTTGAAGCAACATAAATTGAAAATTAACACAGAGCGTTATTAATAAATTATGCATTATTATAAAATAAATTAATAATTTTAAATTTTGAGGCTCACTGTTCATACTATTGATCTTTGTCTAAATTATTGTAATTGCTAAAATTATTTCCAAAATTTTTTGAGCTCATAAAAATACATCATACAATATATTTAAAAATAGTAAAATGCTCTCAATTAAAAATTAGGTAATAATAATCTTCATCCAAGCAATGGAACATTGGAGCTATAATTCTGTACGAGGATTGCGTATGATCTTACATTAAATATTCTTAGTATTGGCAGTCTTGGCTCGCTAAAAAAACAACCGTCACGTCATTTTTTGTAAGAAATTTGTATTACCGTTCACAAAAGTACAAGTCAACTGATATCTAATCGGACCAATAAAAATTCAAGATTTTACATATTATGGTATATAAATACAGTGCTAATACATAAAGCTATCGCTATATTTCAAAAAAATGGATGATCCAAATGCTGATACCGAATGGTATATCTTTTACAACTGTCTTTTATAATACAAATCAGTACATAGTAATTCATTCATTTTGATCTAATAATGCAGGAACGACATTCTTCGTGCTCGAGGAATTCTTCCTCCAAAAGAGGGTCCAACCGAAGAAGATATACTAGAAGCCATGGACCAAGCTATTATGGAAAAACAAGATAAACATCTAGAGGACAAAACATTAGATGAGTTAGATGAATTGGAAGACGAAGAGGATGAACGTGTATTATTGGAATATAGGTAAATTATTTAATTAAGATAGTGATTATGTGTAATCAACTTGATGTATTTTTTCTACTATCAAGACAGAAAAGGATAGCTGAAATGAAAGCTGAAGCTTTACGTTCTAAATTTGGTGAGGTAATTCAAATATCTAAACCTGATTTCATAAGAGAAGTCACCGATGCTAGTAAAGAAGTTTGGGTGGTAGTACATTTATTTAAAGATTCGTGAGTATATGCATATATTAATGCTATTGCAAAGTTACAAATAATTTACTTTCATAATTATGGTTAGTATACCAGAGTGTAAACTTATGAATGCACACCTGGCTACTCTTGCTGCAAAGTATAAGGCGACAAAATTTATAAAGATAATTGGCGATCAATGCATACCAAATTATCCAGATAAAAATTTACCGACTTTGTTGATTTATGGTGAAGGAGACATGACATTGCAGTTGGTTGGATTAGCCGAATTAGGAGGATTAAACATGAGCCTCGAGAGTAATAATATTACTTTCTTTATTCTTGCTATAAAAAAAAAAACGGTTCTAATTGTTTTATATACCGTTCTAATGATGGTTCATTTAGGTCTTGAAAACTATTTAATTTCTTCAGGAGCTATCAATGTCGATTAAATAAAAATACAACTCGATTTTAAGTGTTTTTTCATAATATATATGTTTGGAACTGATAACGCCGAGTGTATCTCCTAGATATCGAAATATAAAAAATCTCTAAATTGTCATCGAAATTCAATTTTCATTTAGATTTATCGAATCAAATCATTACAGAATATATTTATTGTTGTACTATATGTATTATATAGTTAATATGATATATTTTAAATAAGCTTTACATATCAGATATACATAGTAAATAAATAAGTCTTAGATATCAGATACGTATACATAACGCTCTAATTTAGCACTTCGAACATTTAATTGAACATTAACAATTCTAGTGATTTCATTTCGATCGTTATGAAAGATTTTTTTTTCTTTGCTTTAACTAACTTTATTTATTAGTGTAATTCTAATAGCTTTAGATGGGGATGAAATATCTTTTTTTGAAATTGTTGAAATTAACATTGAAATTTGATGAAATTTGGTTTTCCAATAATTAAATCTAAAATTATTTGAGTATCTTGAACTAAGATAAAATTAATTAGAACAGCTGTTTCATAGGTGTTTATATAAAATATATATATTAAAATGACCTATTTATATTAATATTACTTATAACATTAGTATGGTGCAAACCATTTAAAGACACCTAAAATTCGCTACTCTTCAACGAATATTTCGAGTCTCGCAAAAACAATATAGTTCTGTATAATATCTACCAAGTATTTTTTTATACGAAATTTCGAATATTCGTCAAGTAGTAGCAATAAAACATACCAAGAATTTTGAGTACATTTCTATATAAGTTTAATAGATAATTCGCATCATAATATTCTGGAATGTAAATCGAGGAGCGTAAAATCTTGTTCTGTCCCCCATGCAAAAAGAATCAGGAGTATGGGGTTTTTTTTTAAAAAAAAAAATAATAATAATAGATTATTTGTTTTACTATCTCAAAGGTACTATTACTTAGCGAAGATATGAATTTTTTGTGTAAAATATAGTGGCCATACATGAAAAATAAGTTATTGTAAATAAGAATCGGATTCAGGTAGAAATTATGACCCAAATATAATAATTTACCCAGCAGAGTTCTCGATTTTGAGTAGGAAAGTTTTATATGTGGAGCGAGAGTACGTTGTATTTAAAGGACTAGGTTACCAATCTGCTGGGCTAAAAGTCACAGGACGGGCAGGTTATCTTGGTTAACGATGGGATACTGATGGGGTCTTGGTCGATGATAGGTTATTGATAGGAATGGGAGCTGAGGTTGAGGACGGTCGTTATCGTCATTGTTGGGTCAATCAAATAATTACAGAATCGAAGTTGTCACGGTCGTCTTGGGTTTCTTGCTAGGCAGTTAGAAATCTGTTTAGAAGAAAGGGAGAATCCGGATTATGGAAGTTCAGCGCGAAGAATCCAGATAGAGTCGAAATCTCGACAAAGTTAGATTAGGGTTAGCTTAATGTTAGCCGGTTTTTTTACTCCTCTTCATATTTTAATAATAAGTTATTCAGTGAAATAAACTATCTATAAAATAAGGGAATTTATTGTCAGTGAAATGATACGGATCCATTTTTCTATCTTTAATTAAGAGTTTGGAAAATAGAAATTTTTCATGATGAAAAGTGTCTAACGCACGTGATTTTTATTTAGCGTTAAAAATTTGACTTGCCTTAAAAAGTTTCACTTCGATTTTAATCAAGCATTTGGAAAGGTGAATTACTAACTTCCGTAAGAGGTTACAAACTTTCAAAATAATCTCCGTCACTGAATATAGTAGCATGGTGGACAAACCCGAATTTGGTGATGATCGTCATAATTGAATAAAAAATTTTTTCTAACTTTTTATATGCGT